CTGCAAGGTACTGCAGCAGCAGCAGATGCAGCAGCAGCAGATGCAGCAGCAGCAGATGCAGCAGCAGCAGCAGCAAGACAAGAGGGGACTACTGCAGCAGAGTTTGTTAAGAATTGCTCCGCGCTTCTGCGCTGCGGTCTTCCTTCCGTTTCTGCTGAGTCTGCTGTTGAGTTTGCTGCTGCACTGCAGCAACTGCAGCAGCAGCTGCAGCAGCACCAGCAGCAGCAGCTGCAGGATCCGCAGCAACAGCAGCATCAGCAGCAATTCCTGCAGCACTGCAATGCAGCAAAACAGCTCCTAGCAGAGGAACTAAGCTTGCTTGTATCTGCTGCAAGAGGAGCGGGTGCTGCTGCTGCTGCTGCTGCCCTTTCTGCACCGCTGCAGCAGCAGCAGCAGCAGCAAACGGACCCCCTCTCGTGGTTGGTGCATGCAGCACTTGTGTCATCAGGAGATTTGGCTCTGCAGCAAATGCTGCTGGCTTCACTAGACATCGTACGTCAAGGGTGTAGGGTTTAGGGTCTAATGTTTCCTGTATAGGGTTTAGGGTTTAGGGTTTAGCGATTCGTTCTGCTGCTGCTGTTTGCGGTGCAGATCCTCGCCGGGAACGGTCCGCTGCAGCAGCAGTTGCTGGATCAGCTAATTGTTGCTCTCTCCAGCACTCCCGTGCACCAGCAGTTGCAGCAGCAGTTGCAGCAGCAGCTGCTGCTGCTGCAACAGCAACAGCAACAAGGTAAAAGCGCTCTTATGAGCATGGCCAAAGTTGCGACACCTTTGTTGCTGCCGCCTGTGAAGGGTGCACAGCAGCAGCAGCAGCAGCAGCAGTTGCAATTGCAGCAGCAGCAGTTGCAGCAGCAGCAGGTAGTTCCTGCAGCTCTCCGCATTGCGGCTTTGCTGCACTGGTTAGCTGGGTTTGCTGCTGCTGCTGCTTCTGCAGTGGAGGACACAGCAGCAGAAGCAGCTCTAGCAGCAGCAACCGGAAAGGGCAGCAACAGCATGAATGGTTATGCTGCCAATTCAGCAGCAGCAGCAGCATCAGCAGCAGAACCAGCGGCTGACACACAGCTGGAGCAGCGGCTGCTGCAGGCTCGCGCTGCGCTGCAGCTGCTGACGTCAGCTGTACACAGCAACTTGCTGCTGCTGCAGCACTTGCTGCAACGACCCGTTGCTGTCCTTGGGGAGCAGCAGCAGCAGCAGCAGCCCCTACTGCAACAAGCAGCAACATGCCTGTTGCCCAAGCTCCTGCACGCGCTGAATATAGAAGCCCTAAATTCAAGAGTGTGTAAACCGTAAACCGTAAACCCTAATTCTCTCAGTATTGCACTCTTCTTCCCTTGAACCATCACACCTCCACCCCAGTCTAGCTTAGAGTTTAGGGTTTATGGTTGTGGTGCTGCTGCAGAAGGCCGCCTCTTCATGTGTAACGCTGCTGCTGTCTTTGCTGCTGTCGTCGTTGTCTCCTGCCTGCATTGCTTTTGGTGTTGCTGTCGGCAGCAGCAGCAACAGCAGCAACAGCAACAGTACCAGTAGCAGCAGTAGCAGCAGCAACAGCAGCAGCAGCAGCAGGCAGCAGTCGATTGCAGGAGATGAACCAGCACCTGCAGCAGTAACAGCAGCAGAAGCAGCAGCATACTTTGCTTCAGCAGTTCAAGCACCTTTGGCATCGCTACTGCTCTCTCCTCTAGGTCTAGTGCCCCTTGTGCGGCTGCTGCGGCATGAGCAGCAGCAGCAGCAACAGCAACAACAACAGCAACAGCAACAGCAAGCGGTGCTGCGCGGTTTGGCTGCGGTGCTGCTGCAGCAATCCATAGAAGTTCTACGGCAGCAAGAGGCTCTTGTTAATGCAGACGAGCCTATACGTACTGCTGCTGCCAACGGCAGCAGCAGCAACAACAGCAGCAGCAATAGCAGCAGCAACAGCAGCAGTGTTGCAGAAGCTGTGTTGGCGACAGTTGGCATTGAGGGGTTTTGCGAAAGGTTCTACAATATTCTTCAAGCAACCGTAAACCCTAAACCCTAAACCCTAGATATTATAGATGGAAACGGATGGCAATTAACGCTGCAGCAGCAACTCACAGATCATCATCAGCGGCAAATCAACAGCAGCAGCAACAGCACAACACTCATACATGCATGCATGCATGCCTGCTCCATGAGGGTTTATGTGAGTGTTTGTGCAGGGTGTTTGGGGTTTAGGGTTTTTATTGTCATTACTAATTTCTTCTTTCGCTGTTTTCTCTCCCCTTAAAAATAACAGCAGCAGCAGCAACAACAACAACAGTTCTTTTGTTGCTTATCCTCCTCTGCGCATGCGTTGGTCCCTTAGCATTTACCTGCAACAGCAGCAGCAGGGGCAGCAGCAGCAAGAGGTGCTGCTGCTCCTGCCTGCTCCAACTGTGGGACTGCTGCGCCTGCTAGCAGTTCGAGGTCCTCGGCAACTTGTTAAAGCCTTCTTGGCCAGATGCAGTAAACCCTAAACCCTAAACCCTAAATATACCCTTGAGACTACGGCCCCAGCTCAGTAAATTCAAGGGTTTACCAAGTAGGGTTTAGGGTGTAGGGTCTAGGGTTTAGGGTTTGGTGTGTTGCTGCAGCCACCGTGTCTTCTCAAACCTCCGAAGCAACTCTTCTGCTGCAAGCGAAGCGGGTTATTCGTTGGCAGGTAACCCCTAGACCCTAAACCCTTGCGAAGGGACCTGATGTAGTCGGGATAGCACAGATGGATTAGAATTTAAGATGTAAAGCTTAGGGCTTACGGTTTGCGGTGCAGCAAGACAACCTTGAATCTCTGCGCTACAATCTTGCTGCTGCTGAGAGGCATGCAGCTATGCTGCAGCAAGCAGCAGACCCTATGCTGTTTGCTGGTCTTGCTGCTGAGGCAACAACGTTGTCCAAGGAGGTAAACCCTAAACCCTAAACCCTAGTCGGAAAGTCCTGGTGTTGACAGAGGTGCAGCTGGAGCTGTATGCAAAGAGTAAGGGACTTCGTAGGGTTTAGGGTATAGGTTTTAGGGTCTGAAGTTTGGTTTTCAGGTGCAACAGCTGCAGCAGGAGCGTGCAGCAACAACAAAGAGAGCAGCAGCAGAGCGGCTGCTGCTGCTGCGTGAGATATCAGAGACAAAGGCACAATTAAGTGCTTTGCTCCTGGAGGTGCTGCAGCAAGAAGCAGCAGCAAAGGTATGTAAACCTTAAACCCTTTATGTAAACCCTAAACCCTAGGTTCCAAACCGTTACACCAAGCGCTGTGAAGCAGCAGCAGCACCGAGCACAGCATGCCTGCCCATGTAGGGTTAAGGGTTAAGGGCTTAGTGTTTAGGGTGTGTGGTGTACAGGCTAGTGGAGAACAAGTCACGATTCTTGAGGCGCAGCTGTCAACGGTAGAGAAGCCCGCATCTGAAGTAAGCTAGGGTTTAAGGTTTAGTGTTTTGAACCCCATATTAGAGTTTAGGGTTTAGGGTTTAGGGTTTGGGTGTTTGTACAGCTGCAGCAAGAAGTCCGCCGTCTTTCTGCTGAACTTGCTGTGCGAAATAATCAACTTAAAACAGCAGAGGAACAGCTAGCGGTACTCTCTAATCCCTAAACCCTAAACCCTAATCCTTCTTAAACCCGAAACCCTGATTTGCGCAAAACCCCTCACAATTGCCTCTTAGGCGTTTTGTCCCTCTTTCAGTCCGTGCTTAGAAACCAACATACCCGGAGAGAGTTTAGGGTTTAGGGGTTAGGGTTTGGGGTTTGCAGGAGCTGCTTGCATTGCTGGAGTTGGTCGCTACCCGCGTTCCCGAGTCGCTGCAGTACATGTGTCCCCTTACTGACGCCCCTTCTCAATACACTGCAGCAGCAGCAGCAGCTGCTGCTGCTGCTGCTGACGATGCTGCTGCTGCTGCTACGGGTGCTGCGGATGCTGATGTTGCTGCACTTGATGGCCCAGCAGCAACAATGAGAGGCGAAGAAGCAGCAACGACCGAATCAGCAATAACAGCAGCAGCAGCAACAGCAGCAACAACAGCAGCAGCAACAGCAGCAGCAACAACGACAGCAGCAGCAACTCAGCTCTACAGCGGCTGGGATGGTCGCTCGATGCAGCAGCAACAGCAACAGCAGCAGAGCTCTCTTACATCGCAGTTGCTCCCTACCACTGTAGGTATTGTTGTAGCTGGTGCTGCAGCAGGAGCAGCAGCAACAGCAACAGCAACAGGTGGCGGCGACCCCGTCAGCAGCAGCAGCTACTTGACCAACGGTTTATCGTCTACAGCTACTGCAGCAACAGGTGCAGCACAGGCTGCAGCAGCAGCAGAAGACAATAAAAAAGTGGGCCAACATGACGTGTCGCCGCAGCAACTGGATCTGCAGCAGCAGCAACTGCAACAGCAGCAGCAGCAGTTCCAACAGTATTACACACAACAGCAGCCGCATCAGCAGCAAGAGATGCTGCAGGCGCAACAGGCATACGACGCGCAGCAGCAGCAGGTGTATCCTTATCAGCAGCAACCCTACGCATATCAGCAGCAGCAGTACCCGCAGCAGTACCCACAGCAACAGTACGCGCAGCAGCAGCAACAGTACCTGCAGCAGCAGTACCCGCAGCAGCAGCAGTACCCGCAGCAGTACCCGCAGCAGGAGCAGGAGCAGCCCCTGCAGCACCCTCTGCAGCACGTACAGCAACAGCAGCACCCACAGCAAGACCTACAGCAGCAGTATCCACAGCAGCAGTCCCCCCAGCAACAGCAGCAGTCCCCAGAGCAGCAACAGCAGCAGCAGCAGCAGCAGCAGTCCCCAGAGCAACAGCAGCAGCAGCAGCAGCAGCAGGAAGATGACGATTTAGAAGCCGAATTAAAAGAGTACAATTTATTGATATCTTCTGTTGATGTTTCTTCTCTTTCTGTAAATCAATTAAATGAATTTAAATTATTTAAACAACAATACCAATTATATCTAGATAATAAGAGAAAAGCTAAACAGCACCAGCAGCAGCAGCAGCAGCAACAGCAGCAACAGCAGCAGTAGTGCTAGGAGGAGGAGGAGGAAGAGGAGGAAGGTGAGGAACTGCTGCTGCTGTGCTGACTTTGGGTATACTCAGGTTCATTCATTGTAATAAATCACTCCCTCTCTACCCTGCAGCAGCAGCAAATATGCAGTAGCAGCAGCAAACCTGCTGCAGCAGCATTAAACCTGCTGCATCATCAGCTAACGTGCTGCAGCAGCAGCTAACGTGCTGCAGCAGCAGCTAACGTGCTGCAGCAGCAAAACAGCGGCAAGTCTGTGCTTTCTTTTTTGTGCTTTCTTTTTTGGTCGTCGTATCTGTAGATAGAGTCTTGTAGACGTACACGTTCCTGTTGCTCCTGTTGCTCCTGCAGCAGCAGCAACTGCTGCTGCTGCAGACTTGTTGCAGTGCTGGATGGTATTTTTGGGGTGTGCATATACACCTGAAGTGCAGCAGCAAAAGGGAGACCTTTTGCTGCTAACTAAAAGATTATATTATTTAATCTTTTATTCAGACACACAAGGCAGACAGCAGCAGCAGAGCAAGAGCAGCAGCAGCACCAGTAGTATCAGTAGCAGCAACAACAGCAGCAGTAGCAAGAGCAGCAACAGCAACAGAAATAGCAGTAGAAATCGCAGTAGTAACAGCAACAACAACAACATAAACAGCTGCAACAGCAGCAGCAGCAGCAACAGATGCAAGAGCAACAGCGGCACAGCGGCCCACTGGGAGCGGCCCACTGGCAGCGGCCCTTACGTGGAGAAAGAGGAGTGACTACATCTTATGTCTGCAGGAGTAAAAAAGGCGATTAATGTTAATGAGTGTTTCGTGTTTCGTGTTTAGCGTTTAGGGTTGGCCCTCAGGGTTTAGGGTTTGTTAGGGGGGCGGCAGATCGCCATGTGTTGATTAGGGTTTACGTCTAATTACTTAAAGATCAGTGGAAATAAATATTCAAATATACAAAACAATATAAGAATTAGGGTTTAGGGTTTGGGGTTTAGGGTTTAGGGTTTGAGTGAGTGGTCCATTCGCGCCGGTGGCGTCGGCCGCGGTTATTCTCTGTCATTTGTTTAAATAAATAAAATTACTTAAATTAATTTAATTAAATAAATCAAATTATATATCTTTTAATGTTAATTTCATCTTTTTGCTGCAGCTGCTGCTGCTGTTGCTGCTGTTGCTGCAGTGACACGCAGCGGCAGCACTCCGGGGTGTGTAGTAGTTCTTTGAGTCGGCCTCGATACTCTGCTGCTGCTGTTGCTGCTGTTGCTCCTGCTGCGGTTGCTGCTGCAGACATAAAATAAACAATAAAAGTATTTATTTATTTATATATTTTGATAGAAAGAAAACACTCTCCTGCTGTGTGCAGAGCAGCCGACAGCAGCAGCAGCAGCATCAGCAGCAGCAGCAAGGCTCATCACTCTTCACTGCAGCAGTAATTTATTTTGTTTATTTTTTTGCTGCTGCATAAAAGCAGCAGCAAATTGTTTTTTATCTCTTTTTTCTTTTTTCCCCTTCTTTGTTAATAAATAATAAAAAAAGAAATTCTTTTTTTTCTTTTTCTTCTTTTGTTCCTTTTTACGTGCTAAGGTGTCTCCTTTTTAATCTTATTCTTTTCTCTACACTTGCAGCAGCAGCAACAGCAGCAGAAACAGAATCAATAGCAGCAGAAAAAGCAGCAGGAACAGCAGCAGGACGTCCATTAAGGAAGGATTTATGGTGTCTTGCTGCAGCAGCAGCAGCAGCAGCAGTTTTGTGCATGCATTAATAGGCATGCATGCAATTAAATAGTTCATTATTTCTTGTCTTATATAAAAAGGAGACACTTAGAAAGGAGACACAAAAAGGGGACACTTAAGGATATATCTTTCCATATATAATTATATATCTCTTTATATCTTTATTTCTTTTTATATATAATATAAACAATATAAATATACATAATATATATAGATGATAAATATACATAATATATAAATATATATAAGTATATTTATATCTCTCTGTCCCTTTAAACAAACAAAGAAGAAAAGGAAACAGGTAAAAAGGAGACACTTAAAAAGGAGAAACCCGCAAAAAGGAGACACCCAGGAAAACCCCTTAAAAAGGAGACACTGAAAAAAGGGCAATAAAGAGGAGACAGTGAACAAAAAGGAGACAATAAAGGAGACAATAAAGGAGACAATCAATAAAAGGTAGAGAAGATGAGTGTGGTAGGGGAGAGTGTAGGTTGGCAAGATAAGACAAAAGCAGACACTAGATCTTATGTCTGTCGTTATTCTTATGATGGAGGTCCTTGTGCATCAAGGGAGACAGAGAATTTTCCCTCAGGTCTGCATTGTCCGCCTTCTTGCTGCTGCAGCAAGACACACATGCTTAATGGTCAATCAGGTATGTGGTGTACACCATCATGGGCATTATGTAATGGCGTACTTAATTATAGTAATTATAGTTATGGTGGTTGCTCCTGCGTCTCTTATAACTATTTATGCCATGCAAATGCTACCTGTAAGGAAGAGGAGAAACCATTAGGGGGGGCATATTGTATATGTAGGGATGGATATAAAGGAGATGGTATAATATGTAAGGAAGATAAATGTATAACAAAAGGAGGAGACACTTCTTGTTATCCAGGTAAATGTGTCTTTATACAAGAGACAGGAGAAGTTAACTGTCAATGTCCTGATTACTACGAACAAGATAGTACAACAGATCCTCCTTCTTGTAAGGTTATTAATGCATGCATTAATAATCCTTGTGGGGATGCACAGGCAGTTAAGCAATGTTACCATGAGGGACCAGGTAGATATAGTTGTTTATGTAATAAAGGATATATAGCTGTTAATAAAGGAGATACTTCTTCTTCTTCCTCCTCCTCCTCTAATACTGTATGTGATGATATATTCAATCATCTTATGTGTGCTAATAACCCTTGTGGGGTAGAGGGTGTCTCTAAATGTATAGATAAGAGCGAGGGAGGAGTAACATGTATGTGTCTCTCTGGTTATACATTAGTTAAGGAGACACTACAATATAGATGTGTAAGACAAGATCCCTGTCTCCTTAATCCATGCGGAGACACTACTGCTGCTGCTAGCTGTGTAGCTACATCTACATCATATACATGTACATGTAAGGATGGATATGTATCTGTACAAGATACACAAGGTCCTTATTGTGCTTTAGATACGAATAATAATACACAGTATATCTTATTTGCTTCTGTTGGTGCTGCTGCTCTCCTTCTCTTCTTATTCGTCTTTTATCTATCAAGAAGAAGAAGGGTTACGGATCTTGATGACGCAGAGGTTGAATTCCTTAATCAAGATCCTGCTGCTATTGCTGCTGCAGCAGGGCAAGGAGGAAGAGGAGGATATTCAGATACTGCTTACTTCTCTCCTAATGGATGGGCATAAACATATATATATTATGCGTTTACTGTATAATAAATTTAGTATATATTATATTTATAATATATTTATTATATATAGTTATATTATATATTTTTATATAATATATATAATGTTATATATACATAGTATATTTATTGTATATAATATGTATATATACACCTCAATAGTTATGATAGCCTAATGTCCAGAGACAAAGAGGCATAAAAACCAACCTTAGGGTTAGGGTTTAGTTTCTTGGATTTCTCCCTATGCACTTGGGGAGATCCACCGTAAACCCTAAATCCTTATGCAATTTTTAGGGGGAAACCAACCGACTTTACTTTTTATTTTTTTCTCTTTTTGTCGCTCTTTATACACGAGAGAATTTTATACAAATATACAAACGGACAGACACTCAGTTTTATGAATAATCATTGAAAAATAGACCTAACAGCAAAAACATCAAGGGAGTCGCAGACACAAAGACATTGAATCTAAACAGCAAAATTTAAAATAATTAAAGAGAATCGCACGGCGACATCTCGATTGGGGGGATGAACGTGAATTGTTTATTTCTCCCAAAAAGCGGGTAAATGGTTATGCATGCATGCATAAAATATCGCTGCATGTATAAAAATGTCTGTGATTTATTATTATTATATTCATCAGCTAAAAGCTTTAATGTCTATAGGAAATATAAAGACGGCTGTGTTGTGATATGAACGAATGGCAACCAATGACCAATGGAAATGAACCAATGGCAACCACAAACCATCATATATCACCAATGGATATTATCCCCAAAAAGATAGAATAGGCATCGTACGGAGCAGGATGAATCTTAGAGGGTAGCAGGAGAAGCCTATACTCTCACACTTACAATACCTGGTTGCGCCAAAGTTGTCTGCAAGTGATGTTTAGCACCTCCACTGTAAGGGACAATGATTATGGCCATTTGCATGCTGCAGACAAGGGATCTTATAAGATGATGTGCTTAATAATAAGCACTAAAATCATATGCAAGTAACAAATGAGGAGATAAAAAACACTACTTAGCCCGCATGCATGGATTCTGAGTTACAGGCGAGAGGTTCAGTCACAATTCAGTGGGAATCTTGTCAATCCATTCATGCACGTCACTAATTAAATGACAAGCTGCATGCTTCACTAATATACTAATACGACAACAATACTAACGCACTCGGTAGTACTATGGTAATATTAGGAGGCGTGAAGACGGTCGGCCTAACTCCTGGGCTTGCTGTAGGAGGTGGCGCTTCCTCGCATCCCCTTTTAAACCCTTTTGCTCGGTGCCGCAACGCCCAACTACAAAACCCAGCTCTCGAATTCTCCACGTCATAGTTATGCCCGCCGTCAACCCGCGCTTGATTGAATTTCATCGCATTGGCATTCAGAGCAATGGGCAGAAATCACGTTCTGTCAAGACCGTTTGCGGCCATAGCAAGACTTTGTCTTAATTAAACATTCGGATTCCCCTTCCCCGCTCCAGTTCTGATTTAGCTGTGTTCACTGTGTACGCAGACCGGTTGCCACATCGAGGTCAGTGCCGGTGGCCCACAAACGCACCGCGAGGCAAGAAAGGGCGCACCACAGCCCCGACAATCGTGGCA